TTATTAAGCCCGTTGCCGGCGCCTTCGAGGCCGCCGACGGCGAGATCGGCAGTTATCTCAATAGGTGCATTAAATGTGAACGATTTTTTAAGGGATGCTTAGGCGACTCTTGAGAAAACTCTTCTACAACTTTAAGAGAAGATTTTGGCCAAAAATTGGGAGAGGTTCAGCAAATTGTAGAGAGCCCAGAAGAGTGTAGAGAGTTTACTTTAGGGGAATTCTTTGAGAGATTGTAAGAGTGGAGGGAAAGTGAGAGATTTTTTCCTCCTTGCCGCTTCGAAGAAGAATTTTGTGTGTTGTAAAGAAAGGAAGAGATTCAGAGTAACTTCGAGGAGTTTGCTTGGGGAGGAATTAGAGATAAGTGGTATTTACTTATTGTAGTTTATATGACTTTGCTTTTATATATAAATTCCGAGTTTTATCGTATTTTCCCCATCAGTTCTAAGTAGTTTTCTTTGTATTTCTTCTTGTCTTGAAATTTTGTGAAATGGTGATTTGAATTGGTTGAGCCTTAAAAATGTTAAAGAAGTTGTGATGATCTTTTCACTTCGATCTTAGTTTACTTTCAATCTGATCAATTGATTTGTTAAAATATGTTGAGTTTTACAACTAAAGTGAAGATGACATCCAAGATTCAGGGAGGTCAAAGTCCTTGGAAGTTGTGTGCAAATAAATAGGAAAATAATATTATCGGATGTAGAATTGAAGATTTTAGAGTGACAGACTAAAATCCTCAATTCGGTCCTATCATTTGGGTGTTGAAATTTAGATGTTAGCCCTCAGGCAAGAGGAACGTGAGAGCTCTGAAGTGAGAGTCGATATCCTCCCAGCCTAGCCACAGATTCAGTAACCAATAGGATTAATCAATTTTCTTTATGTCTGGACCAAAGGGTAAAAAATATGTGGGTAAAAGGTAAAAAATATGTATGCTCCTATTTGACACAATCCAATTTGAACTGATTCACTTTATCCATTCACTTTAATTTCTTGACAAGGAGAAACATGTTTTCTGATATATTGAATTTCACATTAGAAACTTTATTAGTATAATTAGTTATTTTAAGAGTTATTAAAATTACATATTTATTTCAATTGCCTATAGTGACAGATAAGCAATTTGAACTATATTGTTGTGATTAAGTATTGATTTTTTAAAATCTTAGTTCGTAGCCTCTAATATTACTCCCTGTGGGATTGATATCCAGAACTTCATTAGAGTCATATATTACTTGAGCGATACGTATACTTGCGTTGATAAGTGTGACTTTGCAATTATTGAATATTTTATATATACATATTTATCGAATTTATAACCGCTGTCAAGTTTTTGTTGCGGTTGTTGAGGAATTAAATCTTCTTGCAACATTATTAAACTCTTGCATTTTTAAGCATATATAAAGTCGATGTCAAGTAGCATTGACATTTGCGTCTAACTTTTTTTATGATTGATTTAGCGACTATAATCTTTGTAGTTATAAATTTTCGTCAAAAAACTGACCAACAGAAACTTAGCAGTGTATTTTGCATTTGCTAAAGGTCGATGTAAATTTGTGTTGACATATGTCTGCCGTAAATATTGCGACGCCATATATCGAGCTGGTGATTGTGAAGTTTGCATCCGATTTCTGATACTATTCTGATGCAAACATGTGAAAAGCAAAAAAAAATACAAAACAGCGATTAGATTTTCACATACCTGCACATAATAAATACATGCATCATGATAACTTATATATCATCATAATTGAAAAATACAAATCCAACATATATAAAAAATGATACCAAATTTAATTAAAGCAATACATATCTATAAGTTTGAAATTCACAATTACAAAAAAATAAATGTTCATATAACTATAAAGGAGAAAAAAACAGCATTTATGAGAGGGAACATCATCAAACACATTATGAGAATTCTAATCATGTTCCTCACTTACCTCCTTGTCATCCACATCCTTGTTGACAACACTCATATGTTGTTTTCCCCCATGATTAAACTTCTCTACTAGACATGCTTATCTTCACACATCTGTTGAAGTTCTTTATTCATCATGTTGACCCGTCTGACAAGCTCGTCATATTGAGCCTGTAATTAGCCAAGGCCACCCACATTAGCACGAAAGCGTTCAGCCTCAACTGCAATGCCCTTTGCTTCTGGGGCATACACCCTTCCCTTAATCTTCCTCGTCGCTTGTGTTTATAGCTCAAAATCATACTGGGTAGTGTTAGATTGGCTACCACTATTGTTGGTAAACGATGAGGTATGGCTCATCATCTCCATCTCACTTTGCTGAAGCTGCTCATATCAAAGATTAATTGTCATTTTAAATATTAATAGCCACGAAAATGTTGAAAATCATTTTTTACTTGCAGTGACATGCTAAGAGTGGTTGGAGATCCACTGTTGCTTGCCCGAGTGTTGATGCATCATAACATGTGACTTTGCAGTGGACAAATTTTGATCAAGCTATTTGGTTTGTTTACATGAGATAAAGATATGTATCACATAATTACATAAATATTCAAGTTTATGAATTTTGAGATAATCTTATCAGTCTCCGATAGTGTTATAGGCAAGATATCGAACCTCCAATGTGAAGTGCGGCCCCACTGGCACTCTCCGTCATTTCTGGTTTGTCTATTTTTTCCTCTGGTATTCCGAAGAAGCCTAGGCTCTGTTCAAGTCAGCCCATAAAACCTCACTCACCCACATAGGCCTCTCCCTCTTCTTTCATGTTGTGGTGAACATGTCGCCACGCTGATGCCTACCACGAACCTAAAAAATCTATCAGATTTTCTAGTGAAGCTCTAACAACCAGTAGAATGACATTTGCAAATTAAAAATTATTTAAGTTTAATTAGTATAAAATAGTAGAAATTAACATTCTATTTCAAATTAAATGATCAAACTTTGAACTCTTGGAAGCACATGTCCCGAGTCACAATTGAGATCTGTTTCGAGGAGAGAAACACCTAATCATACTTACTCCTAATGATCTCTGTGATGCTTGCCACAGATTGCTTGGAAGGAAAGAACATAAAATTAAAATATTAGTTAAAACAAAAATCAAGATGAAAATTGAACTAATTTTGACGTTAAAAAAAGACAATTTACAGGCCTCCCTCTTGCATAATACACTATGTCCGAGGTGTTCTCCATCTAAGTTGTGGGAGTTGTTTTCGTTCATTTTTTCTCTCTTTTATATTATAAAGAGTCGCCAACTTGTCGATCGTCGTAAACTTCCCTTATTCAAATAAATCTCCATTCCGAATCAGATCAATGATTCGAAGAGGATAGGAACCGAATAAAAATGGACATACGACAAAGCGACAAACAGGAGAAAACACAAATCGTTGAGAGCCTACGTGTGATAAACCTTGCAATGATAGGTTAAGAGTGTT